TTGGGCATGCACACACATGCACCCGGCGTGAGTTTTAAGCCACCGGGTCCAGGATGTGAACCGTGGTCGACTACATGGGAGTCCAGCAACATAACCATTACGCTAACTGCTGGTCCCCGGGGCATGAGTTTTAAGCTGTTGGGTCTGGGACTCTAACTGTGATTGACCATGTGGGAGTCCAGCACCCCAGCCACTACGCCATCTGCTGGGCCTGGAATCTGCATTTTAACCAACTTCCAGGAGGTTCTGATTGGGGGGGTCCTCTGAGACATGGAGGGGGCACCTGGCAGGCAGGGCAAACGGAGGCTGCGGAGACATCCACTGCTCCTTCCTCCTGTGCAGGAGAGAGCAGGGAGGAGCCACCGCAGATGGAGGGGAGGTGGGAAGGTTGGGGAAAGTCCTGAGCATGGACCCCCAGTCTTGCAGAATGTCTGGGGCTGGCCCTGAGGTCAGAAGGACTGGGGCTGCTGAGGGACCCCTAGCACCTGCCAGGTACTTTTTTTTTTCTTTTTAAAGAGGTTTTTGCTATAGGGTGCGTGCGCTTGCCAGACAGACAGAGAGAGACAGAGAGACAGAAAGCGAGAAATCAACCCCCCCCACAAGGGGAGATGGCCACGCCACAATCCTTTCTCCTCCATTCTCCTCTTGGGATCTTGGGTACGCACACACACGTGCCCGGTGTGAGTTTAAGCCACCGGGTCCGGGTCTCGAACCGCAGTCGACTACATGGGGGGTCCAGCGACATAGCCATTACGCTAACTGCTGGTCCCAGCACCTGCCAGGTACTTTGAAAGGCCCTGGTCAAGGGCACTAAACCTACAGCCAGGGCCACACCAGAGGCTGGAGGCTGGCCTCTGAGCTGTCTACACCGCTATCTGGGCCCAGGCAAGGTCAGGAACAGCTCACTCCACACACACTTGCTGAGTGACCGCTGGGAGCCAGGCACTGGGGGGCAGCAGTGAGCAAACCCCAATCCTCTGCTCTCTTGCTTAAGTTCCAGTGGAGGGAGACAGAAAGCACCAAGAGCGTGCAATAAGTGAATTGATGATTAGCCTCTCAGAGGAAAAGAAAGTAGGAAAAGGGGGCCGAGCATTTTGGAAGGAGGAAAGATTGCCATTTTATTATCTACTTATGTTTTTAAACATTGCTAGAGTGCATGTGCTTGCTGGAGGACAGAGAGAGAGAGAGATGGGAGAGAGTGAGAAAGCACCGCCTCGCCCCCCTCCCCCTAGGCATGGCCATGCTGCAATCCCTTCTCCATTCTCCCCCCCACCCCGGGCATGGCCATGCTGCGATCCCTTCTCCATTCTCCCCTCCTTTCTGGATTTCGGGCATGCACACACATGTGCCCAGAGTGTCCTTCAAGCCACCGGGTCTGGGACTCGAACGTGGTTGGCCATATGGGATCCATGTGGCCTTAAGCACCACACCACTAGCGGGCTCAGGATTGCCATGTTAGATACAGTGGCCCATGAAGGTCAGACTGAGGAGAATGTGAGCAAAGATCTAAAGCAAGTGAGCCACGCAGGTATCTCGGGAGGATGGCGCCTGGTAAGGGGACAGCAAGAACAAAGGGGGATCATGTCTGCCATCAGACATGAGCAGAGGACAGGCAGGAAGCTGGTGAGGCTGGGGTACATGGCAGGGGGTGGGCAGTACAAGGAGACAGGGGAAGGGACAAGAGACAGAGGGGAAAGTGCCCGCTGGGCAGGGCTGCACGGGCCAGGGGAGAGCCCCTGGTTTTACTCTGGGAGCAGGGCGGGAGCTATCCCAGGGTTCTGAGCAGAGGAGACAGCAGGTCTGATGGCGGCTGCAACGTTATCTAGCAGCTGCATGGAGAGTGACTGGTGAGGGGAAGGGGAAGGGCAGGGAGACCTGTAATGACCCGGGAGAGGGAAGGCCGTGGTTTGGCGTCCATGTGGGCTCAGCCCAGGGCCAGAAGCTGGAAGTGGGGACTGCCTGGGGTTAGCATCAGGCTCTCTTTGGAGCCGGGATGGGAGGTCTGTCTGGAGAGACTATTAAGAGGCCTGCCTGGCTGGGCTGGCGTGGGGCCTGGCTGTGCACCAGTTTCCTGTGTAAGAGGCTGAGCACGTGGCTGTAAAGAGGAGGCACATGCAAGCACTTTTGGACCCACACGTGTGTCCCACCAGGACATGGCGGGTCTCGGAACAACCATCGGCCTCTCCCACCTCACCCTGTGGCCCCCAGCAGTCTGGCCTTCACCTCCCTGGGTCCAGCAACCCTACTCTAACCACCCCGCATTCTGGCCTCTGCCCCTCCACCAAGCCCACGCAGCTTGGCAGGATGGCCACCAGGCTGCCTGTGAGCCAAATGGCTTGTGGAGAATGGGAGACAGCAGATGTTCCTGGGTGGCTTTTCCTGGGTTTCCTGCCAGAGCGGCGGAACCGCACCGGATGCGTCCGGAGCCACTGACCTCAGTCTGCTGCTCGACGCAGCACGGGACAGCCTCGGCCTCGGCCAGGCCCGGCCAAGGGTGTGGCTGCCAACGCCTTGGCTCCAGACAGGCCCTCCTGGACCTAAAAGATTCAACGCTGGCTCAAAACCAGATCTGCCTCATGTTGCCACCCCCAGGGCCCTCAGGGCTGTGAATCCCCAGCCCGGCTGGGTTCACCAGGCTGGAGCCTGAGAGGTCACGGAGAGCCGTCTCCTTCCTTTTTTTTCCCCATAGGCCACGTGTGCCAGCCAGAGAGAGGCAGAGAGACACAGTGAGAGGAAAAATAAAAAATAACCCCCCAGGGGGATGGCCATACCACAATTCTACTCCTTCTTTCTCCTCTCGGGATTTTGGGCATGCATGCACACGCACTCCACGTGATTTTCAAGCTACCAGGTCTAAGATTCAAACCACAGTTGACCATGTGAGAGTCCAACAGCTTAACCACCTCGCCACCTGCTGTTCTGACCTCCTTCTGTTTCCCAGACAAGGAGATTGTGGTGCAGGATGGCTCCGGCCAGAAGTCCCCCTCACATACGGCCTGATGAGCTCTGGCCCAACCTCCCTGTGCAGGCAGGGTCACAGGAGCCCAGGCCGGCCAGGACCTGGTGCAGAACTGCTGCCCCCTCCAGTGCTCAGCCCCTGACCCCGCATGTTTAGGGCCCACGGAGCCCAGCACGGAGCCCCCCTTAAACCTTGGTGACAAAGGCTCGTGTCGCTTCTATTTTGTTGTCTGCAAAGTCAAGACATTTTTTTCTGTTTTTCTATGCCAAAATGCGCTGTGATTTTTCCGACGACCCAATACTTCTGGGAAGGGAGGTCAGACCTTGGCGAGAGCTGGGCCCTGAGAAACCAGGGTGGGGCTGGGGCTGGGGTTGGATGGGCCGCAGGCTAGGGCTTTCAACTCACCCAGAGGACTCAGGGCCACTCCCAAGAGGAGGCTAGGCCTGAGGCGGGGCACCAGACTCCCTATCCCCAGGCCTCAGCCCTAGCGCTCACAGGCCTGCCTTCCCTCAGGCTCCCAGGCCACTGTAAGGGGGCTGTTCCAGCCAGGGCCTTGTGCTGAGGGCCACCCTGCCTGCCGGGGCTCTGCAGCAGGACTCAGGATCGGGACCTGTGGACAAGGTCAGAACAGAGAGAGCAGAGTGGACAAGGCTGCCAGTGCGGGCCTGCCCAGAGGCTGTTACCCATCTCTGGGCCCTGGGGTGGCTGGCAGGCTCAGGCCCTCTGGCCCACTTCCATCTGGAGGACCTGGTTGAAACATACACTTCTGTTATTAAGATGGCTCTGCCCAAGACCGAAATGTCTGAATTCTGGCCCACTTCCATCTGGCGGACCTGGTTGAAACGTACACTTCTATTGCTAAGATGGCTCTGCCCAAGACCGAAATGTCTGCTGCGATACCGAGTAGCTGGAGACCAAGGAATCGCACGCGCTGTCCGGGGAGTCAGGACCAGCACCTCCTCCCTGGAGCCTGCTCGGTGCTGTCCAGCCTCACTGAACCAAATGCACATACTCATCTCCAAGAACTGGGCCCACGGGGGACTGCCCACAGCATAGCTGTCACTAACAGCGCATGACAAAAACACCCATGTCGGATGTGTGGAGGGAAGTGGCTGAATAAGAGATGGTACGCCATGGGGAGGGATGGATGTGGTCTTTACCGAGACATAAATGAACTCCACAGATGGGTATGGAGCAATTCCAAGATAACGGAAAAAGCCGCGAGACCGAATGGTATAAATAGTATGTCATCACTTTTGCATAAAAACGAGGAGTCTCTCTCTCTCTCTTTCACACACACACAC